CAGACTCTACCATCATTAATGCAAGATCTTGGTGAAAAATTAATGCAACACTGGATGGAAATAAATCTTGTGAGACTGCAGAAGCTTATCGAAACAATGGCACAGCAAATGTGTGCTATAATCAAAGCTAAAGGTGGTCCAACGAAACATTACAGTGTGTGTGTGACCTTTTTATGGGGTGATGACTTTTTTTGGCCAGGGAGTGTAGCTCAAAAATGCCTATAAAAAACAGGTTCTGGTTGTAAGCGGGGTTGCCTCGCCACAGATCTGACCTGTAACGTGGTCTGGTTTGTTCTCCATGATGATAGAAAGGTTTAATGCCATACTGTGAAAGATACCATGTGAAGAAAAGCATTTGAAAGACCCTTCACTAGAAAAGTTACACAGTGCACCTTCACCACACAATGCATCTGCCAGTATAACAGATGCCAGCAGAGACTGAAATTAAAATTAATTTCCTTTAAACACAAACAGGTGATGGTAAATAATCATCCAAATGGGTTTTGTAATTGTCATTTAACCTTTAAAGTGATTACAGAACATAATAATAATAATATTATGAGACGTCGCCAACATCAGCCAGTAAATCATCTTATCACACCAGTTTAATGGGATATTGATTGAACTGATATCTGAGCTGATATCAGAGTTGATATCTGATTCACCAAGATGTTCAATACCTGTGTCATATTGGTGCATCCCTTTAAAGTTCATGTGTATAAGGTAACATGCAACAAGTGGATAACAATAAGGCGATGCTACATTTGTAACTCACAGTATTTTTAGTTGCATAAATACTAGGTTGTCAAAAGTATAAAAAATCAGATACTAGTCTTTACTAAAACTAGTATTGATAAGGTATTGATACTCAAAAAGGCACATTCACAAGACAGAAATGAACCTTTCTTTTAGCTTTAGAATAATCTTGAGCTGTATCAGCCAACACTACATAGAATACAAAAATGTTAAGATAAACTTTTGATCCCTATATGGAAATGTGCCCTTTATATTTGACTCATTCCTCAACGGTCAAGAGCCGGGGTGCCACCACTGCCACAGTGTTATGCCTGGTGACCCATTTCCAGATTTTGAGCTAGGCTTGGCAGGAGATGGCCTATTGTGTATGTTTTTGGTTGAGGAGGGAAAACAAGCGAGGAATCCCAAGTGGAACCTTCCTGGCTATCTGCCGCAAAGAAATGTATTCAGATATTTAAAGGTCCTATATTACTCAAAATTGACTCTCTGTTAAGTTATAGTGGTGTTACTTTCTCAAAAACATGGAGTTGTATTTTGGTCCATTCACACATGTTTTAGTAACCCATTATTAATAGTCTGTCTACATCTACATCTCCATGTGTTGTCATGTCATGTATTGGTACATTTCAAGTTACCTTTGACCTTTAGGCTACGTTTATATGATGATTATATGATGTCTGAACAGAAGACGCAAAAGAGTCGACACATCTTCACTTTTTATTACATAGTGTTTTCAGGAGGAAATCTGCGTGCATACTGTGACGCAAAAGTGTGTGGAATTCGATTGTGTATGCATGCCAGGCAGGTAAGTGGTGACGGTAGGTGGTGATGTATGTGACGTAAACACGTACGCAGCGTGAGCAGATCTGAGCAGAGTTTTGCGTCTTGGGCAGTGTAGACAAAAACGCTACAGGGGAGCGTAATGAACTTTTCCACTCTGGAGGGTGGTTTCAGATTTTTGCATTTTTAATCCCAAAAAACGCTGTCACCGTCTAAATGAAAGGCACTTCCAATAAAATATTTTGTTGTCTTTACCTGCAAGCATTCTCGTGGAAAAAGGCCCTTAGTTCAGCAGAGATGGGCAATTCCAGGACTGAAATAATCCAAATGATTCTAGTGAAGGTGTATGAAGATTTAAAACACAGTAGACCGCTTCCTGTATTGCTACTTGAGTGTTTTCATCTTGAGAGAAAATCTCAGCCTAAATGTGCATGAGCTTGTGTGTTAAAGGTGAATTATGTAACTTTTCTGGTGGTCAAATGGTTTTCTCCGAGAAGACGTTATTACTTTGTCTGAGATGTATCACAGTATGGCATTAAACCTTTCTATCATCATGAAGATCAATCCAGGCCAAGTTACAGGTCAGATCTGTGGAGAGTGACACTGCTCACAGTCAGAATGCCTGTTTTTCTACGTACCGTATTTTCTGCACTATTAGGCGCTCTGGATTATAAGGTGCACTGTCACAGAATGGTCTATTTTCAAACTTTTTTCACAAATAACACACCGGACTTTAAACGAAACACAACAGTTAGATGGGTGAGTGGGACTTTGTTTGGCGCGTTCACAGTGACTCTCGGATTTGTTCAGTTGTGGCGTGTAGGGAGGGTGCTGTCTGGGGCCGCTGGATTGTCGGAGTGTTCGCAGTGACTCAGTTTTTCCGTTGTGTCTAAAAGTGGCCCATTGCACTCGCTTTTTCGGTTCATTCCTCCGTTCCATTCCTCATCCGCATAGAGTGATGAGTGTGGCTGCGGGTGTGTTTCGCTGCGCGGTTGCTGTCTGCTCCGTGCGTGTTTGCGTGCGCTGCGGGTGGTGCGGCTTTGTAGTTTACCAAAGTTGTGCTGGGACACCCGAGTGGATTCGTGTATAGGGTGCCCTGGATTGGGGGCGCGCATTTGTTTTATGGTGGGGTTGGACTCTTTAGAGTGCGCCCAAGAGCATGGAAAATACGGTATTTTTGAGCTATAAAACCACTTGTAAATGAATAAATGTAAGATAGAGCTTTAATGTCATTCTGTGGAACATTCTAAGCAGAGCAATGATTTTTCCGTAGAAACAAGAAGGTAACAGACCCCCAACAAGTTACACAGTGCACTTTAAACATGTGTGAATGAAACAAAAAGCAACTTGTGATGAGCAAACAACATGATAACATAGATCAGAAAATAGCGAAATATGGGCCCTTTAATACCAGTTACTGTGGAATAAATAAAAATTGTCCTATCCATGAAAAACATTTTAGCTTAGTTAATATTTTGGTTCATTAAAAACTAACATCTGTCATGATTCCAGTGAGGTCAGCCAAACTCTATTCCTCTTTTTAAATAATGATCAAATAATGTTAATTTCTTGTCATTATCCCACTCAGTTCCTGCGTGGTTTTGCCTGTGAGGTGAGCGTGTGGGTGTTGGCAGCTTGTTGACGTTCCAGGTCACAAACACTGGAAAAGATGCCAGGATGAGTGTGAGACAGGCCTGGGAAATTCACAGATCCATTTGTGCCAATATTAATCCACCATCAGCTCTCTATGACGGCTCACAGTCTTATCAGTGACAAGAAATACAGCACTAGTCATTAATGGAGGCTCAAATTATAAAAGGGGCACCGACCTGTTGACTTTAATTATGGTGTTCTGATTATGCTGTGTGGAGGTTAATTATAAATCAGTAAAAAAATATGATCAGCAATGGAACAATTTTGGAGTACTTTTAAAGGCTTTAAGACATGTTATTATGCTGTTACTTTATCAAAAACATAGCTGGAGTTGTGTTTTGTTTCATTCACACATGTTTGAATGGTCCTGTTTCACTAGTCTCTTTACATCTCTGCTCCATTCCACCTTGTGATGTCATGAAGCTCTAGTTTTAAGGTTAATTGCTGCCTTTTACCTTTTGTTCAGTACAGATTTGCAATAACAGACGATTCAAGTCAAAGTGCAGTGTTTCCCGCTTTATAGTTAGGGCGGCCGCTTTGACTTGACTATGTCCCTCCGAACAATGTGAATCCTCGCAAAACAGGAGAATCCTCACTTTTCCCTGGCACAGTATCTCCCCCACGTCCCCCCGCGTACATTTCCTGTATTACCACATCACAAGGTGTTTGTTTTCCCTTTGATATGCAGGGTTTGTGCGTTAAACATATGTGAGTGAAACTAAAACCCAATTCCAGGTATGTTTTTGATGAGGAAACAACATTGTAACGTAGATCAGAAAATTGTGTAATATGGGAACTGTAAACCAATCACAAACTAAAAAGAGCACTAGAGTTTTTTGATATGTTTATAGTACTGTAAGCCACTACTTTTTCCCCACACTTTGAACCCTGCAGATAATAAAACGATGCGGCTAATATATGGACGGATTCCCTGTTTGGCACATTGTCCATTCATATACACGGTCTATGGTTTGGCAACACAGCGGATACACGCAGCCTGAGTGCAGAAAACACTGCTGTCTGTGCGGTTCACATGGATCTCAACATGAAGTTGCTACACTAGTTAGCGATATTGTCAGCGCACACAAATAGTGTATTGCAGTGTGATCAAATAAGTTATGATGCTAAATTAACATTAGTTAGGGGGATACGTCTTACCCAAATGCATAAATGATGAGAAGAAATGTCTCAAACTTCAGTAACCGGACATCCACTCATACCTGATTAATAGAACTAGCCTAGCCCCCCTGGAGAGACTGAAATCTGCTGAAATCCTCCAAGACACTGACATGAAGACAAGACAGGACAGTGGCTCTTGCAGGAGTCATATGTTGTAGAGCGTGAGGAATACGGGGTGATGCGCCAAGGAAGATGCTCATTTGATTGTGTTTTGAACAGTTATTTTGTGCTTCATACACACACCCTCCTCATGGAAAATACACAAAGAAATGCAGATGATGCAGCTTTTAAGTTAACGACAATTGATGTGGCTGTCGAAGAAGGAAATAGAGGTGCTGCATGTGAGCTCCCCATCAGTGAGTCAACTGTGAGATTTTGGTGACAGCAGCATGGCCAACTGACTCGGTGCAAAACGTCGACAAAAGTTTTCAGAGGCAATAAAAGCAGATGGCTTGAACTTGAAAACATTCTTGAAGATGTGGACACCTGCGGCTTATATTCAGGTGCGGCCTATATATGTACAATTTAAAATTTTAGTTAAAATTTAGATGATGCGGCTTATATTCAGGTGAGCTCAATAGTCTGGAAATTACAGTATATATGACGTAAATTGTGTCTCTTTGCCTACTCACCATCGGACCATCTCATGGCGTCGTCCAGGCTGGGGGGCAGCCCTTTCCACAGGGAGCTGTCTTTGGGGTAGCCCAGGTCCATCCTCCTCAGGTGGTCGTCATAGCGCCAGTACAGGTTGTCCTTAAAGAAGTAGGTTTTGTCGTTGTGGAGCCACACAAAAGCAGCGTCCACTCCGTCTGTGGGTAAGCCAAAGTCACTGATGGGACGAGGGTATCCTTCCTCCACTATGTTGTCTTTGAACACCCAGTACTTCAGACCTGAAACCAGAGAGGCACAATTCTCACATCTCACACAGGAATATTCAGTAGTAATCATTTTGACTGTCTGTCTTCAAAATGAAAAAGAGGTCTTCATTCAAAAACATGATGTACAAATTTGAAATGCATTACATTACATAACAAAGGCACAGTTTCAGCAATTTGCCATAATGTCAACCATTTCAAACAAATGGACATAGAAGTTCAATCTGAACCTTATTTCTTCCAATAATAGCAACAACTTTTACTGGTTTTGGCTCCATTTGTAGAAATAAAATCCATGACACTTGTAAATGATAGAAACTTTCCTTTCATGGTCCTGCTGTACTGGCAGATAAACGGCTCCTTTCATCTGTCGCCTTATGGAGCAGATCATTCCCATCGCAAATGTTTGGCTCTGTCAGTTCAATCGCTCATTACATATACTCTCATATATTACTGTCATTGCTATTTCTTCAGATTAAAGTACAATCATTTAGCTATAGACCATTTGCTCCACTCAGTTAAATACCATAATGCCTGCTTACCTTTAAAAAAGACTATCTTGTGGTCCACGGGCCTCTCGTACACGGCGTCCACACTGTCCAGATTGTTGGGTAGACCTCTCCAGAAGCGCTGGATCTGAGCTGGCCTCAGAGACACCAGGTGCTTCTCTCTGGTTAGCCTCCAGAAATACTTCCCTGGCAAAATACAGTACAACATTTAGGAATTAGCTGGTTGTATCAAAAAGGCAGAGAAGAGTATAGAACTTATGAATATGACCTGAAGGAGTTGAATAACACCATTGCTCACAGAGAGGCATTTAGCTGAAGCTGGGTAAATAATTAAAGGCGCTGTATCTCATTGTTACCATCTTAAAAACATGACAAATAGAACGACTCGACAACAATTTTAAACGTTTTGCAGTGAACCAAACGTAGTCCTCACTTACTTACATACGCATTTCGAAGCCAGGGATACTGTCATAACAATGCTTCACTGCAACTAGCATGCTAAGAATGCACTTCCTGATTCTCACAGTGGTCTTTGACCTTAAGAGCTGCTTATGCATTAATTATTTGTACCGAGGCAAGACAAGATTTAGCTGAACTATATGGGAAAAAGGGCTAAGCTAATTAGAAAGCATGATTCAATAGCGCTTTTAGATAAGAAATAAGAGAAATAAATGAATATGCTTTAGTTATGCAATGATTTGTTAAGGGCAGTTTCAATTTGTCTTGATTTCAGATGTTTAAATGTACTTCTTTCTTTTTTCTTCTTTTCAAAAGCATGCCCCAAATATTTAGTTCATGTTTACGTTCTATGATTCGGTTCTTACCCAATCAGAAAGCCTCAATTTTGGTTGCCAGATCCTACAGCTAAAACCTGTTTGAAATCAACCCACAAAGGCTCTTAGTTATGACAACTACTTGTATTGACCTCTGAAACCAGTGGGAGTGCATTATTATTATTAAGCTATTACTTTTTAATCTAAATTCATGTACTTGATAATATCTTTGCAGTAAATTCATTTCTGTGTCTGATATTAATCTTTTTAACAGCAAAACTGCCTAATTGAACTGATTTTAATCTAATACAAATAACTTGGTAAAATCTTGAGTAGAAATGGCGTAGAAGGTGAAGTCCTGTTCAGCTGTCAGCAGCGGTGCACCTTGGGGTCATTCCTCCACAAGGCAACATGAAAGCCTGATGTAACCTACAACCAGCGAGCTTAGTCCTGTCTACTTAAATCTCCGCTACACCACTCTCCCATCACACCTTTAATCTACTCTGTTCTGTAAGCTCATTTAGCTCTGGTCTCACCCACCATCCCTTATAGTCCTGAGTTTGCCTTTTCTTGTGCTAAGTCTTGTACCTTTGAAAAAGAAGGCCTCTCCTCGTATCTGGGCCACTGCATCAAAGTGACTGGTGCATCTGTCTGGGGCATCTCGAGTCAGCCTAGGAGAGATATGGAGGAGGAAGAACGGGGATGGTTATGTAAGACACAGCATCACCAAAGTACAGTACATGTGAGTAGAGGCAGTACAAGGAATGACAACGCTTATTCCAGTCGTCAATATTACCAAACGAAAAAAAAAAGTGTGTTGTTGTCATTCACAACTGTAACCAGCTTTGATTTCAACCTGGAGAGACTCAGACAGAAATCTACATTCATATCACAGTCCACCTTTTGGACTTGAGCTGAACTTTCTTCAGCTCAACACCTCAAAACTTGAAGTTTTTCTTATCAATCCACCCTGTCCATTTCACATATTCAGAACTATCTTGGCCCCCTCTCCACGAATAGAACTCCCTCTGCTAGAAATCTCAGTGTATTTTTGACTAGCATCTTACTTTCCAAGCTCAAGTCAAGAAAACCATCCAATCTTGCTTCCTCCACCTCCGGACTATTTTCAAAATCAAAAATATTTGTACACGCCCAGATCAACATTAAGTTGTCAATGCTCTCATTTTCTCCAGACTCTGATAATTGATTATAAAACTCCCTCTTTATGAAATGTCTTCTATTTTTATGTGTGCTGTTTTCTTTGCATTTCAATGGTTTATCTGCTGGGCTGGAATTGTGTTTTTTACTTTGTTCTGAAGCAATTTGTAAACTCTGTTCTTTAAAGGCGCTATATAAATACAGATGATTATTTTCACCCTTTGACAGAAATTGTAATATGAACCAGAGGTGGGGACTTGCAAGTCGTGACTTGGACTCGAGTCAGACTTGAGTCACTATTTTTAGGACTTGAGACAATAGATAAAATGGACTAAGACATGGGACTCAACTTGGACTTGAAGGTCAGTGACTTGGGACTTGACTCAGACTTGAGGCCTGTGACTTGAGAAGACTTGATGCTTCTAAGAGATATACGTTTTTAGAAAATATTTTTCTCAACAAACTGGAACATGTTCCTCCCACTTCTCTGTTTGTTACTTTGGATGGAACTGAAGTACTGTGATATGGTATCATCAAATGTACTACAGTAATATACATTACAACACAGTACAATACAGTACAATACAGTAATATACAGTAAAACGGAGAAATACAAAGATCCTTCCATTTCAGTGCAGACTATCTGACAAAAAAACTGTTATTAAGCTCTTTTGAATCTTAATTCTTTCTATTCTGAACATAATGATTCACACTAAGATCTTGACAAGACATTTAAAAAGGAAAAATTGCATTTCTCATATAAATATACTGTGACTTTTTAGGTACAATTTAGCTTAAAAGTCATATAAACTGCAAAAATCTAAAGACTGGAAATGACTTGAACTTCAAGATGACTTGATTGATTGATTGATTGTGTTTATATAGCGCCTTTCAAGATACCCAAAGCCCTTTACAGTTCATTATTCAGTCACTCCACACTCAGGACTCGGTTACTAGGACACTTGGACTTGACTTGGACTAATGGGCCAGTGACTCGAGACACAACTTGGACGTGCCTGTATTGACTTGACTTGGACTTGAGGTGAAAGACTTGAGACATATTTGAGATTTGCAAAACAACGACTTGATCACACCTCTGATATGAACATCTGAACTTAAAGGTGCACGTGTAAACGAGCACATGTAACTTTTCTGTTTGTCTCCACAGATCATAATGCTTTGTCTGTATTGTTCCACAGTACGACTTTAATCTACCTCTTGAATGCAAGCAAGTGAAGCCAAGTTCCAAGTCAGATCTGTGGAGAGATGAACCAGCTCACTGTAAGCATCAAGGTATTTTTTTTAACTATTAAACTCCACTTGTAATTGAAGGTGAGATATACAAGTTTAATGCCACACTATGGAAAATTCAGGTATCTCCATGAAGAGAAGCAGGTGGCAGACCCAACACCAGAAAAGTTGCATTGTGAACCTTTAAATAAGAACCACATGCATTTCAGGAGCCATATTTTGTTCTCTGAAGAATACATTATTACCGAAATAATGACAGCTGATGTGATGGAAAAGTAGCCTTTCAAATATTCAATAAATGACACAATTGCAGTATTTTATTTCTTTGTTGTGGCTAAGACGGTTAGAAATTTGGTTCCTGTGCCATGATGTCTATACCAAATTGTTTTTTTTTTTGCACCTCATTATTCAAACTAATTTCAAAATGAGTCAAATGCATGATATGATTTCCCCTCTCACAAAATCTTACAAAATCTTAACGACCACCCTTCAAACTTGGGACACCTACCCAGAAATAGGCCCCTAAAATCTCAGAGACGGCACAAGACTGGTACACTAATCCTTGCTAATCTGATCTCCACATACAAACCACGTCTTCGCAACAATCCAGCCATGCTTCCTCACATTGACCGCTAACCGGATTTTCCCCCTAAGATATGCGCGAGTGTGGCTGCTGTAGTCACTTTTTGCATCTAAATTCGCTTCTCATCCTTATCTGTAGCGACCGAGGAGTGTAGCGTGAATGTTAAAGCGGCTAGCCTAAACAAAAGAGGAGATGTTATCATGTCTTCGCGCTACTGGAGTCCCTTGGCGCATATTTCCCTCAGGTTTATAAGTGATTTTCAAACCGTGGCATGAATCGAATGTCAATGACGTGTCCATTAACGCTGTAGGGGGGAGACAGCCTGTTAGTTAGCTCCCAAATGCTTAACAAAGATGGCTATTTGGAGTTTTATTAAGGTTAGATTCTGCGCTGTGGTCAGTGGAGATGTCCTTGTCCAGACTAATTCTGCTTTTCACGCCCTGTGACCTGACAGAAGTCTACCGGACAGGATTAATGAAGGGGACGGTCGTTCAAAGTGAAGATCATTAAATGGATAGTCCAGGGTTTTGTAAAAGTCGAGTGGTGAGATGATAAGGGAATGTGCCTATAGATCTCTTCTCTATAGGTCATAATGAACACACTCGTATTTAGGAGATGTGGGCAATTTGGCTTCAGTCATACTGCACCAGCCTTTCCATATCCCATGTCTTATATTAGACACTTGTTTATAATAAAATCTTATTCAGGGTCAAGCTTTTAAGTTATCAAAATTATAACAACTCTTATATCCTCTTCAATCTCTTCACTTGAATTTTAAAGGACAAGCTTTGTTATAGATATATTTAACTTTCACCATGACCTCAAACTCGCGCAGTGCTTCCTCTTTAATCTAAAAGCATGATATCAACCAAACTGATACTTACTAATTATTAATTATTCCCAATCGGGATATAGTGTAACTTGGAGCAGAAATCTGAACTGTAGGAAGATGAATATTTGTGAGTTCACACACTCAAGAGAATCCATCTTGGCAGGATCCTGCTGATGCAAATGGGCCCCGGCCGCTAGCAGTTTTGAGACTGGACCAATCACAGGCCAGCACTGAGGTTTTGAGCCAAAGTGATGTGTTCAAACGAACAAAAAACAGCCTATCTTAGCAGAAATACAGATGGTTTTGTATTTGAAAAGTCGTGCAGAGGGAAGTGTTATGTGCTTTTGTTAAAAGTTTGATTTTTCCAGTCAGCATGAAGAATTAGTTTGAAAGTTCCAATCGCTTTCAGCAACAGTCATCCAAGATTGATAATGTGTAGAACTCAATTCAGAGTGCTATACATATCAGTCTGGTGTTACCCAGTTTGCATAATGTGGAACTTTTCAAGAGATCTTTTTAAAAGTTTGAATTTCAATGTCCCATATTGTGCCAGAGTTGTGTTTTGTTTCAGTTATAATCTGTTGTAATATATTTTTAAAGTTCATCCACCTTCACTAGAGTCGCTCTGGACCCAAAACCACCCATGATGGTAGCTGCTAGTGTTTTAAGATTGATTTAAACTGCTTTACTCCTTTGCGGCCTCTGCTAGGAACCATGGGAATTAACGATTAAAACAATCAGGACTTGTTTACTAAAATAAAACATAATACTTATATAGAGGACATTTGCTTTGGCTTTGCTCTTATTTATTTGCACTCAATTCCTATCCAAAACTACTTCAGTGAAACACATTTACCAAATATTGGCCTCTTTAAACAAAACTCGGCATTCTCTCGATGGCCCTGGTGTGTGTAGACTGGTGGAAAAACGGTTACGATTTCTCCTAATGATCCTGGTAATCTAAAACAGGATGAGTTGATATTCTTCCAAGGCGCTTGAGGGAATTGCTTAATTAGACGGGCAGGTTCCCAAGCTCCCTCACAGCCTCGTCCCTAATTTGCACCATTGATTGCTCATGACTTCATATCAAGCTCCAGAAAATGTGCTAACAATAAGAGGTGGCTACTGCTGCGGGATTTCAATACTCGTGTTTGGGCGACAGTGAGCAATAATTGAGTCTGATAGAAAACAATAAAACACAGGACCCATGCTGATTGGACATGATGCTCGCATTCAATACACTTTGACAACAGGACACAGTGGCCTTTGGAAATAATGGTATTAAAAGGTATGGGTAGTTATTGCTAGTATCTCTTGTGGTATTAGAACTATTATGATTCAACCAGGTTATTATTTAATGATTTTAAATTCAATCTTTATTAAGAACTCATAATATCTGGTTCATAGTAAGTAAATAGTAAAAAATATATATATGTAAGAAGAAGACTATAGTTTATTTATTTTATGTTTTGTTCACCAAAAACCTGAATATTGATCTAAAATGACTTAAAGTGTAACTAAGCAACTTTTCTTTGCTACTGAGCTGTGTATTTGGTGTTTTAATTAGATTCTCTACAACTCCAAGTCATTTTTTTTAATGTAAATTTTAGCGCAGACTAGTTTTGTCAGAAACAGAGCGTGTGTGCTGCCTCCAGTGGCTACTTCAATCTCAAGTACTATGTGACATCACACAGGACTGCCCTGATTAAACTAGGTGTTTCTGATAACAAACACCTCACCTCAGAGTTTGAAGTGTGAATACCAGTTAGACCACTAACACTGTTCCTTATACCTCGAGAGTCTGCCCTTCCTCCTCATCTCTTCTTTAGGTTCTGCACAGTGTAGCA